CTGTGAATCTTGAATTCCAAGCACCACCCTAGAAACTTGAAGGCTAGGTAACTCCGACAGTGACTGAAAATTAGGTGTTTTCGGGTGTCTTAAAACGACTAAGATGCTAATGAGAATAGCACGGATTTCGTCAAGGATAATATTTCAAAACCGTAGACCCTATGCTTACTTTTTATAGGAAAACTGTTGTTCGTGAGTCAGCACAGTGTTAAAACGCAAGCTTAAGTTGTATTATGTGTACTTTGGACAAATCGAATAAATGAGGAACTGCCGATTTACTTTTGGTTATTACCTGGTACACCTTGGTTAGTAGTCCACCTTAGCCCATTCCTGCTTGTATAATACTCTACAGGAAATTGATTTTGTAGGTAATGCTGCAATTGTACTGTTCCAATATTCGACGCCAAATATTGTTCAACGATATGGCTCAAGCTTGCCCGCGGTGGTCGCACTGATGATGGCATTATTTCAGCATTTAACTGCAGCTACTTATGAGTAGAACTGATATATTTCGCAAAATATTTTCAGCCCTCTCTCGTTTGCCTGCAGCTTTAGGCAAACTCTTCATGGAATCATAAAATTTGATCTTTACGTATCTTACTTTGTTACTGCATTCTGATCGTGAATTGGGTTTAACTTAGGCCTAACAACAGCGATTTTATCTTGTACTTCCGAAGGATGCGAAATGCTTTTAGCGCACTCCCTGACCAAATGATAAATAATGATATTGCTCAGAACGAAAGCATCGCTCAGGTTTAGGTGCAAGATGATCTAACTTTCCAATTTCTTTTATTACGTAGGTATAATTTACCTCATTTCTCAGATTAGACTGAAAAATCTTAAAGTAATATGAATTTGCTCTCCTAAAAACCTTCAAACTGAATTCAAATACCTTAATGTTTCGAGAAAACAGCCACGTTAAAGTGACCCTATTTGCATAACCGCTGGCATTAACAAGTTGGAAGACTATTGGTCCCTCGTTGATCTACATTTGTTGGTATAAGTCATTCAGGATGACGCTTTACGATTCAATGGCCTAATTATACTGAAGAGCTGACGGTAGTGATTTGCCGTTAGCAAAAATAGTCCGTCACACCACGTCCTCGCAGACACCACTGAAAGCTCGATGACAGACGTCAGATCTGCTATTTAAATCCTACAAGTTGAAATCTCTCCGTCACTCAATATCACGTGACTCCACTCGGGTTTTCATCTTATGTGCTTCCTGGTCCACTCGACTTGATCTGACCAGGGTATTGGTCTCATCATTACATATTGTAAATGCGATGCTTCTGTTATTAGTTGCTACCCACTGCGAGCGCTAACATTCAACTGTGTAGACCTCTGAAAATCTTACGCACTTGTTAGTTCGTTAGATGCATCGCATAGAGATCGCTTCTTATTGGATGATTCTGTGCACAACGGACGTTTTGTTTTTTTCAGTTAAGATTTTTCCAACCATTAACTATACACCTTAGTGCCACAGTTTTCATCTGTCTTTTGGCTGTCCACTGGAAGAAAGGGGTAGAGGGGAAATTGGAATGTATCGAGGTGAAAATAGAGAATCTGCGAAGACAAATTCTAAATAGATGCACGAAAGCCAGCACCTGCAAAACAACTATATCAATCAGCATATCTACCCATTAGACTGATCCTGAGCTCCCCATTTAATCCTAACAAGACCTAACATGACCTAATCTCCTGGTTAGGGTTTTCCTTACCGCACATCAGGTCTTAGTTTCACCAACCTTGCCCTTTTTTCTATACACTACCTGCCTCAACAGAAATCGCGGTTGTAGCAGTCTGTTTGCTGACGGGCCCAACTCAACACTACTCATGGGGGTCGACCACTTGCCCCGGTAGATGACCCAGATTATTTATAACTCTAACTAACCTTAACATCATTTATCCTGTTTCCCCACCAAACACGTTCAATTGGGCGCAAAGAGTGGTATTCGAACACTGATAGTCTATCTTTGCTCTGTTTCTGTAGTAGCCAGATTTCCGGGCCGCAGCAACATTGGTCGGATTGCTAAAGCATACACTAGGTTCCTCACATATAACCTGATTTCGTGACGGAGCCCCAGATGTCTCTAGATGGTAAGCGCCAATCAAACCTGTGTTTCCGACACCTCATTTGTGATGCGTACGCATGGCAACATGTTTCTTACTTTCCGAGGTAGAATAACGTTAGGAGTTGAACCAATCCACTTCGGTAGAAACATTCAGCACTTTTCAGATGTAAAATGAATACCGAAAATCGCTATGCTAGCACTATACAGAAGAGCTTGCAACCTAACTGGACCTTCGCTTAGCAGTACAATGTACTCTATGTACTCTAGATCAGACAACCTGTTATTTGGGAGCAAATCGATGCCGCTATACTCAAATGAAGACAGTTGTTTCCAGAACCAGTTTTCGCGTAGAAAATTATGCGTAGGAAAGGCAAGAGAGGGTAACCCTAACGAACTCCGATTTCTTTGGAGAATTCGACCGTAAGCTTAAATTGGGCTACGGCTATTGGTAAATATAAAGAGACCGTAGTATTGAAATAAACTTCTGGGGCATACTCTATGGGGAAAGGTAGTGCCAGAGTTCAGAGCGGTCGAGGAGGCAAAAGTCGCGTTGTGATTGACAGAAATAGTGGGTACATAAAAGTAATGTAGCGAATGTAGCGAAGAGTGGCAACATCGTAGATAGAACTTCGACCAGGTCAAACATAAACCCCATTCTCACGCCTGCACCATTTATCTGCGGTAGAAAATCCACGGAGTATTACGAACGCCGGTGGTATTGATTGAACTAAAGCTTCAGTGATTTTCACAAGAGAACCTGTTAGTTTTCTTATAAATCGAGTACCATCATTCGGTTGGAACTTATTCCCTCTCCCATATTGAACTTAGGAGTTTCGTCAACTCAAAGATGAATGCTGAATCTCCATTTTGTAGCTTTTGAAATAAAGGTATAGGCTCTCTAGTGCGAAATAATTAACAGGTTTACCATGGTTATTACAAAACAGAGGCAGTAGTAAGATCCGATTTGCTCGCAAACAAGCTATTGGAAACAATGAAATTTGCTCTGTGTGGGGGGGATCAGTGCAACAAGGACAAAATAGAGAGCAGTTAGATGAAACTGTACAAATGCGAAATGGTGCCACGAACAAGCTTAAACGTTTCTATACATTCTGGTATCAACGTTGTCGCTTCTTTTTCTTCCCAGATGGAGCACCGTTATATGGAGCAAAAACTTTGCTGGCCTGTGGAAATTGGTTTCCATTATGACCGGAGGATAAAACGTCCGAAGCCGGATTTCCATAAGAGTCCACGGGCAAAGTCGATGCAGTGGACCCTTCGTGGGGCGGCACTAATAACAAACAGAAATAAATAGTCGAGTAAATTACAAATACCACAATAAAAACGACAAATGTGAGATCAAACTTATTTGTCATGTCAATGTCTCACGATCCACACTACGTTGGATGGTATCCGGTGTCTTTTGAATTACAGACCGTGGCTGAAATTTAGGTTCCTTTTTTCTAACCACCACTTTTGCACTGCACACCGTTCCCCAAACAGGTGACTTTTTACTCTGATATTCATCGGAACACTCCAGTGTTAGTGATGGCCGCTCATTCCCGGGTACCTCCCTATATTCTGCTCTTGGCCATACTTCTGGGGCTGTCACAATCGTGTCCCCTTTAAAATCAGCAAAACATTCCTTGTGCTTACTCCCCTTAAACACGAGTTCCTCTCCTCTTCATCAAATTCTAACTCAAACGTTCTCCGTTCAACAGATTTACGTTACCTTTGGGGACTATCCCTATCTTTCTCTCTTTTATGGCGCTGATGCATCTACTCATTATTCCTGCAACCCCAGTCTTTATGAATTATATTTCCCTTGAATTTGCTCCCAACATTCCAATCTTCATTCTGCTCTTTTGGTTGGAAAAACTGAAGCTGAAAGTTTATGGTCATCATATATATAACTGCTACTCGTGCGGCGCCAAAACCGGCTTCCTCTCCGCGACAGAGGTTTCTTTGCCACCTCTCGCTTATCAAACCCCTACACTCGAATAGTGTAGTCATGTGGGGTAAAGTCTCGTCCACCTTTCTGTTTCGTCTTGATCACGTCATTTGTCCCCTCAACCACACGACCCTAACATATGATTTACAGTCACCAGTTCATCGTCGAGCCGTCGCTCCCTTATCTTTACTCTGCTGATACTATTTTGTTCGTTTGTTTTTCGTTCCACCGAACTTGTCTGTTTTGTGCCTCTCCCACTTACTTTCTCGTAGGTCCCGCACACAAGCGGTTAGTCTACCATGTCAAATGAGTATCCTCAGGTGTCGCATTTCTGACTTTCAGTCATATTTTTCCGACGAACACTCTGTGTCTTTCGGCCTTCCATTCAATTTATAACATCCTTTTCTTTGAGCGCAGAATCAATAAGCTGGTTCTAGCTTGTAGGTTCTCTTTCCATCTCATGTACAGTAGTATATCCTTGGATTATGGGAGTTACTCCCTGTTAATGTAATCAGTTATGCGTATTAAGAAAAAATGTACACAAAAGAGTTGAAGCAGCTAACATTATACATTGGGTGGTGGTGGTGGCACAGTGGTTTAGTTACTGTCACTGACGTGCTTTGGACCCTATGGTCCAAGGTTTGAACCTCAGCACCACCGCCAAATGTTGGTGGAAAGCAGCGTTGCTACCGTCCAGTTCAATACCACATAAACTAGCGAGCCTTGTGTGGTTCCCCACTCCAAGTCCCGGTCTCATGCTGCCATCACTGAACAGCAAGGCTTCGCGACTATGAAGTTCAACTCTAATGTTTACCACACAAAGATGTGTGAAATAAAAAACAGAAAAAGAAAAAACAACGCTTGTTAATCGAACGAGAAGCAACCACTGCGCGTACCAAGAATGCACTTACGTTTGGTGTTCTCGTTTTGAGAATGAAGAGACTGCAAAGAAACGATGACTAAATACTAATAAAAATTCAACTTACAGCAATCGATGTAACAGACGACCGTGAGAAAAGTCTATCGGAATCGCGGAACTTTCGAACCCTTTTATCTCCAGCAACTCGATTAGGACCTGATGGATTGGTACCGGAAGTCGGATTTGAACCAGCGGACATTAGATAACGATCCCAGCCCTTAATGATATTCCCGTAGGGGGCCGTATCGTCCAAATAACTGCCCTCGAACAGATATATTTGGCGTTCCAAGTTAGCTAGAGCTTCCTGAGGGTTTTAACGGTGTCTTTGTATGCTTACCGTGAGAGATTTTCTTTGCCGCACAAGCTCGTAGAGATCTGCTTTAAGATCCAAAGTACTGGTCTTCGGGTTGCTCTGTGTTGGCATTCTGATCAAGTTATTGGCTGAAATATTACACATCCAAATAACGAACGGGATAAGTGTTTTGGTACATATATCATCATCAACCTACAGTGTAATATGGTGAAGCGAAATTCGCTGATCGCTGACAAACTAATAATGCATACGAGGAAAGTGAGAATGTGTAAGGAGGATAAGGAACGGGTCTGTTTTAAGGCACCGGAAAAGAAGGCTGACCTCTACGGTCAACACAGAAAGTACACAGTCAAATTGTGCATACACACTATCTCAAACATGCCGGAGTGATAAGAAGTGACAGCAAGATCGCCAAAGCTGTCGGTTTGCTGCCATGACCTTCAGTATCTACAACCAACCAGTTTTCCAGTTTGAACAACCATTAACCATGCACTTTCTTGCGCCGGTTTTTGTTGCTATCTTTTGGCGGCTCATTTGGATAAAAGAGCAGAATGAACATTGGAATGTTGAAAGCAAATTCAAGCGGAAGATAGAGGATTCATATAGAATGGTGATGCAAGAAAACTCTACGCCTGACTCATTGCTCGTTCGGCTGCCCCACCAGATTCGTGCAATGCTGCGTAGCACAATGTCGTCTACATACTCTAGCTCAGACAGTCTGCCACCTGGGAGTAAATCGATACCACTGTCCTCACACGATGATAGGGCTGTTAGAGAATTAAATCTATGGTAAAGTTAAACAGAAACGGAGAGAGAAGGTAACCCTGTCGAACAGCACTTACCGTAGTGAACTCAGGAGTTATTCAGACTAAGGTCAGCATTGTCATGCTGTAAACCTGAGGTATTCATACCTCTGTACAAGGCCCCACTTAGAATGCTGCGCCCAGACATCATCACCCTTCTTTAAAAAGGGATGCTACCTGTCTAGAGCGCGTTCAACAGCTGGCAACGAGAACGATTGAGGGTCAGCAGGGCAAAGACTATAAGCAAAAGCTTCAGGACCTTGGACTATTCTCTTTGGAAACAAGAAGGCTTCGGGAAGATATGACAGAAATCTTTAAGATAACGAAAGGTTTGTCTAGTCTTATACCAGAACCCCTGTTCCAGGAGGCGCTAGATTCCCGAACAAGGGGGCACGAAATGAAGCTAGCCAAGACCCGGTCTTGATTGAGCGCCCGATCACACTTTTCAACAACAGAGTAGTCAACATATGGAACAGGCTATCCGTAGAGCTAACAGAACTGCAGACCGTGTTGGCATTCAAGGCGGCCTTAGACTAACGGTGGTCTGAACTGGTTCCTGAAATAGAGGTTTGATCATCCATCGACCGTTCTAAGAAAACTAGAAGAGTAAGAACGGGCACTCAGGTTGTATGCTCCGCGAATTATGTAACCAGGAAGATGAACGTTCATGTATCACAATCTCGCTCCTTGGAGGTGAAATGAGGTATCTTTCCCTTCTCTTCCTCTTTTCAGTAAGGAGGTAAATGACTACACTTCGTAGTGGTGGATGTCTGACTTGACTGCATACCCAAGGAATGCTGGGCGCTCGACTGGACGTGGCCGTCTTCTGTCCTGTGCACACTGAACGGAACGGAACTTTACACGACAGCATCTTACCAGTTTATCTCCGTTTTTTTTAAGTAAGATAAATTAGAAATCTTTGATGCATCAACGCCATATTCAAAATTTTCAGAAGGAGACACGTATTCTTTTGTGGAAAATCTGAAGTCCAAGCGGGTTACTTACAAACGGCTTTTGTATGTATGGACGAACTTTTCTGTTTCCTCTTGATCAGCTTGACTGAGAAAACCAGATAAAAGAAACTCATACAACGCAGTGTTTGGAGGCAATTAAATCCGTAGATAAAACAATAATCTGGACGCTGGACTGGACTGGCCAAGAATATAGATGGTCGCAGAGTACATTTATTGCTGTCCATCGAGCGTTGTTTCAGTTCAGTTACGGTTTGTACAACCATCAACCATGCACTTTCGAGCGCCGGTTTTGGTTGCTGTCTTTTGGCGGCCAATTTGGATGAACAATTGGAGAAAGATAAAGAAGTTGAAAGTAGAGTCAAATAGAAAATGGAGACTTTCATTGGACTAGTGTTGCAAAGCAACTGAGATGCACGAACGCCACTGGTTACGACACCCAGTCATATCACTAGGCGCCTCTAACCATCGGTGACCATCATCCCGAGGTCCCCAGCTAGGGGACCTATCAGACCCAGTCTCCTGATTAGGGTTTTCATACCCTCATGCCAGGTCTTAGCTTGACCACCCTGGACTTTTTCCATCCATTACCGGACTTGGCAAACATTGCTCGCCGTGGCAACCTATCTGGTGACATGCGTAGCACATGGCCCAACCAAAGTAATCTATGGAGGTCGATCACTTGCTCCATTCGACCACCGCGACTGCCCAAAACTCTACGCCTAACCTCAGCATTGCTCATCCAGTTACCCCACCAGACTCATGCAACGCAGAAAGCGGTGTTCAAACACCGACAGTCTATTTCAACCCTGTCTCCTTAAAGGACAAGTTGCATAGCCGTATAGGAGAACTGGCCAAAATGCCGTCATCATCGTACAGTGAACTTCACCGATTCACTGTCGTGGCACATACTCGACCCTTCACAGACAGCTGGATGTCACAACGGCGCCACAAATGTCTCAAGTTGGAAAATGCTAATCGAGCCTTTTGTATACGTGCCGACACTTTAGCTGTGATGCGTCCACCGGGTGAGATATAGCTGCCTAGATAGCAATATTTGTCTACTTCCTCTACCACTTCCCCAGTTAGGGTGAGACTGGGCGCTGGATCAACCCAATCTTGTAGAAGCATTTTACACTTTGAAGGTGCAAAACGCATACCGAACATGGCAACACTAGCACTCAAACTATCCAGAAAAGCTTGCAACTTACCTGGATCTTCACTTAGTAGCACAACGTCGTCTGCATACTCTAGATCAAACAGTCTGCCTCCTGGGAGTAAATCAATAACGCTATCCTCGCACGAGGATAGGGCTGTTAAAGAATTACATCTATAACAAAGTTGAATAGAAACGAAGAGAGAGGGCAACCCTGTCGAACACCACTTTCTGTGAAAAAAACTCGGGTGAAAAGTGCCGTAAGCTCGGACTCGACTTCGGTTAATGGTATAAAGAGGTTGTAATATTGAAATAAACTTCTCGAGCACACCCATCAGAGAGAGGCAGTGACAGAGTTTGGAGCGGTCGGCTGAGTCGAAAGCCCCTTTCAATTGGAAGAAGATAGAAATGGAGGGTCTAAGAAAGGATTGTGTGTTCTAGAATTTGACGAGTAACGAAGATGTGGTCTGCACAACCTCGACCAGGTCTAAAACCAGCCTGGTTCTCATATGTGCACTCTTCACGTGCGGCAGACAATCGACGGAGTGTGATGCGAGCGAGAAGTTTAGAGGCAATGCTGATTAAACTAGTTCCTCTGTGGTTATCGCATGAGGACCTGTCACCTTGTAAATCGGTATGATCACCGATTCACACCCCTAAGTCCCTCTCATGGTCACTGTTCCTTAGGAGAACATCCTTGAATGTGTACGCCGATCTGAGGTCACTGTAGCCTATTCTGATGAGTAAACATTTGTCGATGTTTACGGGAAGCTACAACTCGGATAGCTGATTTAAATCACCGTGTAAAACTTCCGCGTCTCGTGACGATTGAAGTGGCCTACATAGTATCAAATCGTCCGCGTAGACGAGGCCCAATAACTGTAGCCGGATAGGAATATCGTTGATATACAAAAGAAACAGAACGGGGCCCAGAACTGATCCTTGAGGGACTCCGCTGAAAACCTGCTGCCAGGTGAATATGAAATCACAGATCTTCACCGCAAAATGTCTTCCCTTCAAAAAGTCCCCCATCAAAGTGAGTATTGGATTTGTCACTCCAAAGCTTCGCAACTTCAGAAGCAGCCTTTCGAGTGGGATCTTGTTGAAGGCTTTGCTGAGGTCGACGTAAACAATATCCGTGACAGACCCACTGGCTTTGGCGGTACACCATTCTCCCCTGGTCAGAAGCAGGTTCGATAGACAGGAACTCCTCGGGCGAAAACCATGCTGTTGATGGCAAAGCAGTTGACAATCCGTCAGATGGAGATGCAGTCTGCCAGAAACCAAGCGTTCCGTTACTTTACAGGAAATGCATATCAAACTGATGGGACGGTAGTTCGACGGGTCTACCCTCGAACCACTCTTTAACTATTGAACAGTTCCCTAAAACATGGTCGACTTCCCGAGGATTGGAAGGGTGCGCTAAAACGCCCCTTGTTCCTTTTAAACTTTGTCATACAAGATGTTCTACAGAATGCTTTGTCCGGTCTAGTAAATGGTGGAGCCGAACTCCTCCCAGGGAACAGAGTCATTGGCTTAGAATATGCCGATGACATCGCTTCGCTGGGTGGTAACACACAGGCAGTCCAGCATGCTTTGAACCGCTTGGCGTTCGAGGTATCCAGGTATGGTATGTTTTGCATCATTCAAGTGCAAAGTGCTTGTTCAAGACTGGCAGGAGCCTGTGCCTGCACTCACCGTCTATGGTGATTAGCTGGAAGTGATTGAGAACTCTAAATACCTCGGGAGCTTGATCGCAGCTGGTGGTGGTGTTGGGGAGGAGATCACATCACAAATAGCGAAAGATAGAGCAGCTTTCGCCAACCTGCGACACCCGTGGAACCACCCTGATATCCGACTGTCCCTTAAGGGAAGTGTAAATAGCCACGGTTCGTAGCGTTCTACTTTACGGGTGCCAGACCTGGCCCCTCCTTGTTGAGGATGCTAATTGACTTTCTGTATTCGACTACCGATGTATCCGAAGCATTTCTCGCGTCTGGTAGGAACATCGAGTGAGCAATGACGAGGTCCTTCACACTGTGTTGGGCATGGATAGTCGCTCTCTAACAGAAGTAATTGCTCTACACCGCCTCCGATGGCTTGGTCACGTATTGCGTTCGCCTGCCGATCGAACACCTTTGAATGCTCTCTTTGCACGAGCCGGATAAGGCTGGAAGAAGC